GATCATAGTAATAGCCAGAATTGGACGATTTGTTCGAGCTTGTCCCTTGAGCAATATTCGCACTCATTGGGAGCGTCTCAGTTTGATCACCAAACCCAGCTAGTTGGGTTTCTGCATCTAACAGCATGGTGTACACAGCATCAATGGACAAGGATTCTCGCGTGGTGGTTATAACGGCAACAAATGGTTGATACTCACGAGGAAGGCCCTTTAATATGCTGGCAACATGTTCAGCTTGAGAAATAATGCTGCCACACGACTGTAGAGCGTCACACACTTCTTTTACACGTGTGATATACACTCTCATTGAATCATCTCCTTTCTTGAGAGACTGCAACTTATAGTGTAAGCTGATCACAGCTGTTGTGGACCTATTTCCAAAGAACTGGAGGACTGTATTCCAGACCATCGAAGCTGTTTCTGCACCCACGAATTGTGGGAGAAGCTGAGGACTAATCGTGGAGAGTAACAACGACGCGAGCGCACTGTCTTGTGCCACAAACTCCTCATACAATTCATTCGGCACAGCCTCACCACCATCACTAATCACGGTTTCAGGCGGAGACCTTATTGTTCCCATCAAGAACCGCTCAAGGCGATGGCTACATACCGTTAACAAAACTTGTTGCTTCCAAAGGAGAAAATTTGTTTCATCCAGGACCACGTTGACCTTCTTATTGGAGAACGCCTTAGTACTTCTTGCGGAGAACTCCATGAATAGAGACGACTCATCACTGTTGAACATGGCAGCAAGAACCAGTTTGCAACAGAGGAGAGCTCCTACGCAGCGAGAATCAAAGATGTTTTCCCAGGAAAATTGGCGAAAGATACCATTTTAGAAAGCTGAACTATACTCAGAATTCAAGAATCATTGAATATATTTTTTTTCATTTTGCATTAACCAAGTACATGGCTTTATACCAGCTTAACAGCAGTTCTAGAAACGTTGTAACTGCACTAACCGATTACAAACAACACTAACAGCTTCTAACTAACCTCAACTGTTTATTAGAAGTTCTAATATCTAAAGGTTCGGTTCTTACATTGTTGTTGATTTAAAAGGTTGTTGGGACTATGATGAAAGAATTTATATGAAGGTCTTAGGAGGGGGAGACTTGTAGTCCCTAGAGATGATCTCTGAAAGTACAACGGTATAAGAAATACATAATATTTCATATAAATTAATCGATTAATAAATTAAATTCTATTATTTATATAAATATATTAAAAATAATTGCGAACATGGGATATGGGATGGGTAGATTATTACTTGGAACATTTGATTTGCCATGTGATCATTCCCATGGGCAGTTTGTGTAGTTGATTCATTATGTTATTCAATTAGTTGACTTTGGATGATATGATAATTAAGTATTGAATTTGATCTACAAAAGTAGGATAGGGAAAATTTCATATTTTTATGTGATTTAGGATTTTTTTTATATTTTCTATTGATAATCTACTTTTATCTTTTAAAATTTTATACGCTCGTCTTCCAACATAAAATTTTACTTCTGTCCATACATATAGATCCTTGAGTCTTGGGAATGAGTTACTAAGACTCGGATGACGACCATTGGTGCTGATATAAACCGAGCTCGGAATCGAGTTGTTGTTAGATATATTATTTCATGTTTCTTACCTAGCATTGGATATATAAAGGGTGAGATGATTTTTGCTCACCTAAACCGGCAGGGGTGGCCTTGCCGGATCTAACAAGCAACAACCATCTCTTTCGGCTAATGATACTTAACCAAATAATACGGACAAGGAAACTGTGCTGCAATTTCCCCAGCCTTGGCATTGTTAGATAAACCAATTTGATGTGTAGTAAAGTCAAGTTTTTTAGAGGGTTTTTTAAGGAGGAAGAAAACAAGGAAAAGGCAAAGCAAATTCCATGCAATAAAAGTTTAAACTTGTGATTGACGAGTCATCTTTATATACATGTATATATATTTGTTGATTTCTTTTTTTCTTGTAAAGGAAGGAAAACATAACTAAGAGAAATTGATAATGTGAAAATTTATTATCAGATTGATTTTTTTATAACCACTGATATCCGATCTATTGATCAACTAATCTAGATCAGGTATTGCAAAGGCGAGGGCGACCCTCCCAACGCAGTTTGCTCCATTCGCAATTGTCAGGATTCGAATCTCTAACCTTACTTAAGGGATCTAGCATCTTATCCCACTAAACCAACTGGTTGTTGGTGATATCGATTTTTTTATTTAATTTGTTTAATTTATAAAGTAAATATATAAATTTTAAATTTTATTTAAGATATCTAATGTTAATAAATTAAATACTAATAAGGGTGGAAACTGAAGGTAGATATAAATTGTGTTATGTAAAATTTAGATGCGAATGTATGTAGAGAGCTGATGGAGCTCTAGTCCTCAAAATTCTTGAGATTAAATACTTAATGACTTGATACTATTTTAAATTTAAATAATTAGTTTATTTATGAATGATCATGTATTGGATTACGTCGAGTTTTTTTATTAAATTTAAAAATTCAATATTTTTACCCGTTTCGTTCCAAATTTAGGAGGATTCCACCCGATCTTTGAGGTAAAAACTCGTATCTTACTTGACTCAAATATGTATATTTCATTTTTATTAAGTAAAATAAAGATTTAATTGAAAAAATAATATAGAGATGTGTGTTATATCTAAACATATAAGGATTAATTATAATATTATTTTATATTGGGTTTGGGAATTTTTATCCTAAACCCAAACTCTACTCGATAAGACTCTATGCTTCGAAAAAAATTCTACCCAACCTCAAATTTTAAAAAAGAAAATTAAAGTCGACAAGATAAGATTAAATTAAAACCCGTTAGATTCAAATAAAATTCTCTTCTTAATCCCTCCCAATATTTAATCCTAGACTTGACCACCCAATGTTGAAAGTTAAAACCATAAAAGAAAGAAATAAAAATGGTGGGTTTTGGCCTTCTCAGTCTCTTGTTACTTTGCTTCCTTTGCACTCATAGAATGTCCCCATGGAATCCTTAATGTTTGGTCCCTTTGTGTTTTGATTTACAGCTCTTACTCTCTTTGTTTTTTTTCTTCTTTTTCAAGTCGTTTCTTATATGGCCCCTTGGAGGAATAGACACGAGTAGAACCCCGACTTTATTATTAAAAAGTAAATTTCTACGACCAAAGTACGTCGAGTCATGTAGTAAAGAGTTTAACGTCTCTTACGTAAGATCTTAAATTCAAATCTGATAGATAAATACGAAAACTTTTAACACGATTCAACTCTGATATAATCCAAAACCCTATATACTTGGATTATTTAGATGCATTTGTAGGATGATTTAGACTTTGGACCAAACAATGAAGTTGATAAGGCAACGTGGGGGGATAATTTTCCATGAAAGAAATGTCATTTGACGATGAACACTCAATCACTCCGTTGCAATAGCTAGTGTTCGAATCCGTGACCTCTAAGAACAACAACGATTCCTTTAATCAATGGGATAAATTAGTTCATGCAATTAATTCGAATTTAAATCGAGTGAAATTCAAAATAATTTATAATGATTAAAACAAAAAATAATCCGAATTGATTTGATTCAAATTATGGGTTTAGGTTAGTAGGATTAATTTAGACAGCAGTTAAAGGAGAGGCCCCTTGGGGTGGTAAGAACGAAGAGATCGCAGATAATAAAGGAAAATAGGCAGTACGTGTTTATATGGTGAGGCCCATTGCTTTATTCCATGCGCTTCCTAGATTTTGCACTTTACTGGCAATATTTGGATTGGAAATTTTGTCGTAGCAAAAAGTAGATTTTGTTTATATAGACTTAACATACGATCACGATAGCACCCACTGTATAGTGATAACGGTATCTTCCGTGACCGTTATTATATGATCGCGATACTCGTAATCTCCGTAATAGCACTTGTTAGGTCTGTAATCGAGACGCGACCGAAAACCTCAACCGTTATTTGAATCCCTGCATACAAACATAAATAACTTATACTAATCTCTTTAATTAATCCTAATAAATAAATTTAAACAATTGAACCTATTGAATGACCTCAATAGTTAAAATAAATATTGTTTTTCATAAAGATCTTAAGGTCAAATAACTACGTATGCGGTGTGCGTACACGTTGCTAAAAGCTAAAAGAAATCTTACACAAATGCTACCTTATAATCATCATTTATTATTCAAAAAATTAATTTTTCATTATTTTTAAATTTTTTGATAAAAATTAGTTATGTTATAAATTAAATATTATTTGATAATAATATGTAATATCGGTTTGAATTTTTGTCATCAAAATGATTTAATATTGTTAGTATGAATGACTTAATTTATTAATAATAAAAGTTGAATAATATATTTTCATCAAATTAAGGGTAAAGTATACATTTAGTACCTGAACTATCAATTTTGATCCATTCTAATATCTAAACTTCCAATTTTTTCAAAATTACACCTAAAATTTAATTTTTATTTCATTTTAGTACCACGTTCAAAATTTAAGTTTTGAAAACAATTGAAAGTTTAGATACTAAAACAGACAAAAACTGATAACTTAGTTACTAAATGCTTCAGTTTTTAACAACAAAGTACTAAAATGAAACAAAAACTACACATTGGATATAATTTTAAAAACAAATTGAAACTTTAAGTATTGAAACGAATCAAAAACTGATAGTTTAAGTACTAAATGCGTAGTTTTACCCATAAATTAAAGATTTGTGAACCGACTGAACGTCGAAATCTAAACAATGTGAAACTGACCCAATCTCTCTTCCCTAAACAAGAGGCAAAAGGTAAAGAAAATTAGTCAAATTTTTGCTCAAGGCTATTCTCTCTTCCAAAAGGGAGAGAAGAGGTCGACAATGAACAGTAACTATGTTCTATCTGGCAGTAAAAACACAATCCGATTCATTTAAGAAATCAAAGGGCGTTCCTCTAAATTGTAACAATGGAGATTTCACCAACAGAATAGACTATTTAACCGAAACCGACACGAAATTCATACGGTGAATACACCTTCTCACATGGCAGCAAAAGCCTTCTTCCCTCCACCGGAAGACCCGGCTGGAATGACCTTTAAGACATTGAACCTCACTGCCTTCGACAACGGCCTGAAAAGTTTTATCAATAAATTAACAGAGTGGTTACAAACAATAATTTTCTGTGGGGGTGGAGACGATAAAGATGAGAAGGATCAAACAACGAACCTGCATTGCCCGATTATAACATGATCTCCTTCTTTAACACGAAAGCAGGGGGATATATGAGCTGGGATGTTACTGTGCATCACAATCTCCAGCAAATAACATAAACCAGCATATCTAGAAAATCAACAAAGATGTTAACATTAAAGAGAGAGAGAGGATAACTTGCCTTTGGTACTTCTTGATGAAGTGAAGGTAGTTCCTTCGAACAATAATGGTCCTGATACGGCCTCTGATAGAAACAGATCCGGTAAATGGGCATTTCTTATCAATATATGTTCCTAGTAAATGGCCTATCAACTGTTAACGGTTATAGATTGATTGATCATAATTAAATAATTAGTTAGTCTGATTGATAAAATTAAAAGACCAGTCACAAAAGTAAAATAGATAAATAGTTAAATATTAAATAGTATAATTTACTTTAATTTTTTTAATTAAGACATAATATTATCTAATAGTGATACATCAATATTATTATCATCTTTTAATTATAGATGACCAAAATAAAATTAAAGCATAATATTAATAATATTTTTAAAAAAAAATTAAATAATCAAAAATAAATCAAAGTGATACTCAAATAATTAAATGTATAATTTATCTTAATAACGTTTGGACACACTCGAGTCGGTCTATATAAAACTCGCCACTGAGTTGACGACCGAGCTCCAACAACTGGGGGAATAAGCAGGTGCTAGCGGTCCACAATTCCTCATACGGTGCTGCGCTGGCGATCCCATCGGGCGACGGGAAATGGCATACGTGGATCGTGCTGCCCGGGGGCAATTCCAGAATGTGAAATAGAGCCAGCGGGGTGATGACTCAGATGGGCCCCGTTCCTCCGATGGTTCTTGTCGTGTTACACTCGGTGGGGCCCGCGTCTACTCAGCTACGAGTGTTTTTGTTTTTGTACATCGTGGGCCCCACGGAGACGTCAATCCCAGTCGGAGAAAACTATGTTAAATTTAAATAAATAAATAATAGAAATAGAAAACAATTAAAACGAGCCAAAGAAAACAACGGCTGGTCCTTTTTTTTCCACTGCTACCGCCCACAAGTTTCTCCCTTACAACTTTTTTTTAATAATTAAATAAAAAATTAAATTAAAATAAAATATTAACTGATAAAATAAATAATTATAATTGTTTTCAAAGATTATATAATATATTAAATAAAATACCCTTTAGCATTATTGAATGTAGTTTATCAGTTTTGATCCGTTTTAATATTTAAATTTTTAAATATTTTTAAAACTCAACGTTAAATTTTGAACAGATGTATTAAAATTAAACAAAAACCAAAGTTTAAGTATGATTTAAAAAAAATATGTATTTAAATATATCAGAACTGAGAGTTTAATTATTAAATATAATTTACCAAAAAGAATTACGAGCCAGGCAGTAGAGGTACATCATATAAATAGTGTGACGTTTAGGTACTAATTTGTTTTAAAGTTCAAATTTAAAACATGATAATTATACATTTCCGTGCCTAAATTTATTTTAAAGTTCAATTTAGTACTTATCATTTTTTTATCTTATTAGGTATTGAATTTGACTTTTTGATTTAAACGGATACTAGAGTGACATTTTAGTCTAAATTTTTAATTATATTAAATAATTTATTTTAACAATGAAGACAAATTTAAGTATTAATTTAAATAAGAAAACAAATTTTAATATCTAACTAGAACACAAAACATTAGATACTAATTTGAATATTTGTATCAAATTAAGACACCAAAACATACAATTATCCAATTATTCATTAAAATATGATTTGATTTGCTTATTCCACCCATTGTATCTTGCTTAGTACAAGAACTAGCATCACAAACCGAGCTTATGAGTCTTACAATAGAGCGTGCACCACTTGATTGCACCAAGTCAAAGTCTACTCTTTTAAAAAGCTCTAAATCTCTGAACTCTCAAGTTGTAAGCACTCCATTTGCTTTATAAATACCTTAAAAGGTTCAGCCCACCCTCTCCTCCCTCACTCTTCCCTTTACCCTTCGATTCCCGCCCCGCTCCGTTTGCTACTCCGGCAGCCATGTCGGCTTATTATTACTCCTGTTTCCCAGATAACTACGAAGCTCACTACCTCGATTCCTGCTCCGTTTGCGGTAAATCGCTTCGCAATTCCGATATTTTCATGTACAGGTCAGTTGTTTTCTTCATCACCACATCGATCTCAAAACTTCAGATCTCTTTGTTTGTTTGTTTTTTTTTTCTGATGGGTAATTGTTGATTGCAGAGGGAATACGCCGTTTTGCAGCAAAGAGTGCAGACAAGAACAGATGGAGGTCGATGAGGCGAGGGAGAAGAGGTTGAAATCCGGTAGATCCCCGAGGAAATCGGATTCCAAGAGTTCCACGCCGCCGAACAAAACCGTACGGACGGGGATCGTTACGGTGTCGTGACGATGATTGCTCGTGCGTTTTGATTCCGTGGTGTAGAGTGATTGGGTAGCGTCAATTTTGGGGTCAGAATGAGGAAACAAAAGCGTAAAACAAGATGATCTGAGGCGTGGATGTTTATACAAGGAGGAGGGAGGGATCCGATTGTGCAGTTTCTAATCAATGAAAATTGATATATATAATATTTAATTATAAATCAATTATTAGATTTACTAAAATTTAATATTAAAAATAAAAATGAGTTTAAGATTTTTATTGAATTAAATAAATTAACATTAAAAAGAGCATTCAATTAGATAATGATATTCGATATTATTTAATTAAAGAATTAAATTTATTAAATTAAACTAAAATTTAAATTAAATTAATAAAATGTATAAGTAATGAGGATTGAATGTATAGTTATATCAATCTTTTAATTATCACACTAGCCCTTCATCAAATGTTAACGATAAATTACTTAATTAATATTATTTAAATAGTTCAATAGTCTGATTTATAACATTGAAATATCGATACTTAGATTAAAATCTTTCTATAATCAAATTTTCACGAGTATCGTTTATTCATAAATTAAACTATATACGAAGAATGATCTAATTTTCGGTTTTAGTCTTTTAAGTATATAACAAATTGCAAAATCCAAATTATCTCATTTGTTAAAGGAATTGTTGTTGTTCCTAAAGGTCATGAGTTCGAGCACCAATAAATACAAGAGTAATTGAGCGTTCATTATCAAGTAATTAAACGTTCATTATCAAATAATTGAGAATACATAAAACATATAATACTTTATAATTACTTTAACTTAATAAATGTAACAAATTGAATTTAATCCTTCGAAATTTTTTACGTTATCGGACATTAGTTAGTTTAAATTGATTAGGGTTGAATGCTTGATCTTGTTTTTTAAAAATACAATCATTTTTTTGAAACGAGTGTTTTGTATTGTATTCAAAATATAAAAATAAAATATTCACGTGAGCCTAGGGATGAGCATAGAATTCGAATTCGACGGGTTTCGACCCGATACGATCGGTTTGGATTTTTTTAAAATAATTCGAGTTCGGGTTGAGTTTTTTAATGTGATGCTCGGGTCGGGTTTAGGGTGAAAAAAACCCAAATCGAATAAAATATAATTTTACATTATATATTTATGAATAATTACAATAATACCCCTCTATATATTATTTTTTAATCAAATCACTATTTTTATTGAATAAAAATATTTTATTATTAAATAAAAATATTTTGTTATTATTTCGGGTCGGGTCAAGTGAAACTTATTTTCGTTGAGTCAAGTTGAATCTCTGGTGGAGGACTCCTTATTTTCGGGTCAGATCGGTAGATCAAAAACCCAACCTAATCCAAATCATGTTCATCCCTACGTAGTGACGTTAAAAAATCTCTCTAAATCTAAATAAATGATTAAAAAAATATTTGGTAAATGCAATGAATGTGGAGATAAATGAACAGCATATTTCATCAATTTCCTCTATAGTCGGGACCAATTAGAATTTTGAACGCAATTTTTTTTTTGTCGGAACTCTCTCTCATATGTTCCACGTGTGTTTTGTCTGATTAAATCATCCGTCATTGGGAAAGTGTAAGGACGCACATACGAGTCTACAGTATACGCCGTATTTCGAAATACATCATAAATACAACACATTGAAACACACAATCATATTTTAAAAATTTTAAGGTTATATAACAAAATAAAATTAAATAGTCACTAAATTACGTTAAAATAATCTTTTTAAATATTAAAATTTATTTTTTTAATAAAAGATACAACTTTAACTATCAGGGACAAAGTGACATAATAAATTATTAAAATAATCTCATTTGCCTCTAAATTATAAAGAAAGTTTTATTTTCGATAAATTTTAACATTTCTAAATAATAATTTTAAAAATGTTTTTTTTTAATTATGGAAATTCAAAATTTATTTTTAAAATTATAACTTTATGAATTTGTTAATTCATCAAATTATTTTATACATATTTTTATTTGGTTATGATTAAATTTGTAAAATTTATATTTTTTTTAGATCCAACAATTTTAATTATCATAAAGTGTAGTCAATTTTTACTTTTATTTAATGAATTTAAATATAATTTAAAAATAAATTTATAATTTAAAATTATATTTTTTAAAAAATAATATTTTTGAAATTTTTACTTAAAATAATTGAAAATATAAAAAAATTAGTCACAATTGAGGGACCAAAGAAGATATTTTTTATTAATTTAAAATATCACATCATCCTTAATGGTAGTTAATGACCGATGCTTATATTTTTAACAAAATCTAAATTTTAGTTCTTATTTTATAACTTTTAAAAAGTTAAATGACTAAAAAGATAATTTTTATTTAAAAATTATATATATATATATATATAATTATTTAAAATGCTTATATTTAGTATTATATATATATATATATATAATACTAAATATTTTTATTTAAAAATAATTTTCACGTGATAAGATGTATCTTTTTTACAAATAACTTATTAAACATCTGTTTATGTCTTGATAAAAGTTATATAGATTATAAAATAACTTTATAATGAAGCTTAAAAATATAATTTTTTTGGGTATCCCGAGGTATCCCCAGGCTTCGTCTGGGACTAATCCTCCAAGGTACAGTCGGGCACTAAAGGTGGGGACCTCTCCTAAGAAAGTTTGATGCATCCACAAGGGTTCGAACTAGAGACCACTTGCTTAAGCGACCAGAGCCCCTTCCACTCAGGCCAACCTTCGTTGGTTAAAAAAAAATATAATTTTAGTTACGATGGAATCTTTTAATTTGATTTTGTCCGTTAATTATACACTGTTGCAATAAATCCCGTTCAACGTTGTCTTCTTTATATTTCCAAATAAGCTTAAGAACAACTAATTGAGTCTTCGTTTATATTATCATCGAATATATGTTGATATGCTCATAGCTGCTGCATAATAATTCTGTACTACTTTTGCAAAGGAGCTATTTCTTGGCAATCAAAACTAAAAAATGTGTGACATTATCAACATTACAAGTAGAGTACATTGCAGCAACTGAAGCGCGCAAAGAATGTAACAGATGAAAAAATTTCTATAAGAATTAGATCACAAGCAAGATAAGTATGTCCTCAAATGTGATAATCAAAGCTCTATTCATTTATATAAAAATTCAGCCTATCACTATTGAACAAAACATTGATATTCATTATGATTGGATATGAGATGTGTGGAAAAAAAAACTTGATCTAGATAAAGTTTACACTAACTATAATTAATCTGATATGATGATAGGTAATTTCGTCCAAGAAGTTCAAAGATTGTTGTCAATGATTAAATTTGCTTGTTTCCTCCAATTAAGTCAAGAATAGTATCTACGGATACTTATGTTAAATGAATACTATATAATTTGATAAGAAATGCATAATGTATGCATATTGAGTCTTAGGTACAATTAGCATGTCATGAGGTTGAGTGATTATATGATACATATTTGTACATTCTACGAGGTATATTCGTGTACATTCTTTATGGCACCTATGGTGCAACATATCTACGAGACACTTTCGAGTGTAATTTATCTAAGAGGCATTTTCGAGTGCATATTGTGCACAATCGATGAGACTCACTTACCCTTACATTCTCATATAATATACATTGGGTTATGGCTATATAAAATAATTCCATAAAGCTTCTTACCCAACTTCTTCACTAAACCAATAAGCCATAAAGCTTCTTTTGCAGCTTCAGCTGTTGCCATGTATTTAGCTTCAGTTGTAGATAATGCCACAACAGATTGAACAGTAGACTTCCAGTCAATAGGCCCTCTACCAAGAGTAAAGACATACCATGTCGTAGATATTCTATTATCCAAGTCACCTGCATAGTATGAATCCACATATCCTACAACTGAAGGATTATCCTGCTGACTACTAAAAATAATTCCATGTCCCACAGTACCCTTTAAGTACCGAAAGATCCACTTGACTGTTTCCCAATGTTGCTTACCAGGTTTAGACATGTACTTATAAACTTGACTAACAACATGAGCTAAATCAGGAGGAGTACTACATACCATTGCATACATCAAACAAACAACAACATTAGAATACGGAACCTTTGCCATATCTTCAGCTTCCTTATCTATCTTAGGACACTGTTTTGATGAGAGCTTAAAGTGATTCGCCAATGGAGTGCTCACTGGTTTTGCACTGCTCATCGCAAACCTTTCTAGCATTTTCTCAGCATAACCCCGTTGAGATAGCCACAATTTCCTTGAGTCTCTGTCCCTGCAAATTTCTATTCCAATAATTTTCTTTGTAGCACCTAAATCTTTCGTATCAAATTCCTGACTCAATAAAGTTTTCAAACCGATAACATCATCCATGTTCTTCACAGCAATTAACATATCATCAACATACAGTAACAGAAAAATAAAAGAACCATCGTCAAGGCTCTTAACATAGACACAACAATCATACTCACATCGCTTGTAGCCAATCTTGATCATATAGGAGTCAAATCGTTTGTACCATTGTCTCAGAGACTGCTTCAACCTGTACAAAGATTTCTTTAATCCACAAACTAAATGCTCGAGGTTAAGTGAAACCTCCAGGCTGTCGCATATATATATGCTCCTCTAAATCACCATGAAAAAAAGCAGTTTTCACATTCATCTGCTCTAAATACAAATCCCAACTAGCCACCAATACAAGTACTGCTCGGATTGAAGTGTGCCTGACCACAGGAGAAAAAATTCCATTATAATCAACTCCTTTTTGCTATGAAAAAACCTTTGCTACCAAATGAGCCTTGAACTTCTCCTCATTTTTCCGTTACTGTTGGTTTCTTCTTATACACCCATTTGCAACCAATCAGCTTCTTACCCTCAAGAAGGAGAACTAACTCCCATGTGCGATTGTGATTCAAAGACTCCATCACCTCAACCATGATAGCCATCCACTTGTCGTTTTTCTAACTAGTAACAACATTATGAAAAGTAACTGGATCATCACTGCTAACAGTAAGTGCAAAAGAGACCAAGTCTTCAAAACCCAATCTGTTTGGAGGCTTTATATTCGTCCGTCTCACCCTGTCTCTGGCGAGACTATAATCCTGCAAATCATCCATAGCGGAACCACTAGAAGTCGGTTGAGAAGTTTTTGTTTTCTCAACTAGAAACTGCTCGAAATCCACTACCGTCGTGTCTTTCTTCTGTTGTAACATGGGTTGTTCATAAAAAATAACATCTCTGCTGATCATAATTTTCTTCGTAACTGGATCCCAGAACTTGAATCCTTTGACACCTTTCTTGTAACCCATAAAAATACACTCATTCGATTTTGCATCAAGTTTGGATCTCTCATCAGCAGTTACATGCACATAAGCAAGACAACCAAAAATCCGTAAGTGATCAAAAGTAACATCATGACCAGTCCATACCTCTTCTGCAACTTTCCCAGCCAATGATGCCCTTGGCGATCTATTGATAAGATAACACGCCATGTTAACAGCCTCAGTCCAGAAGTGTTTGGGAAGGCCCGCATTCAACCGCAAACATCTGCTCTTTCATTCAACGACATGTTTATCCGTTCCGTAACACCATTCTGTTGTGGTGTCTTACGCACTGTAAAATGCCTCTTAATCCCATACTCCTTATAGAAGTTTAGAAACTATGAATCTATGTACTCCGTACCATTGTCAGACCGTAAACACTTGATTTTTCGTCTTGTTTGGTTTTCTACCTTAGCTTTCCACAGCTTGAACTTCTTAAAAACATCATACTTCTATTTCAAAAAATATACCCAAACTTTCCGTGAAAAATCTTCAATAAAAGTAACATAATACCTAGATCCACCCAAAGACGATGTTGTGGAAGGCCCCCATACATCAGAATACACATAATTAAGAATCCCTTCAGTTATGTGCTTCGCAGTCTTGAAATGAACTTTAGTCTGTTTACCAAGAACACAATACTTGCAAAAATCGAGCTTACAACTTTTAACACCATGCAATAGATTTCTTTTATGTAATTCAACCATACCACGTTCATTAAGATGAACAAGACACATATGCCACAGTTTGGTAGTATCATCACATGACTCAACAGAATGAACTCCACCTACAACAGTATTCCCTAACAATTTGTAAATATTCCCTGCAGTCATCTTTCCTTTCATCACAGTCAAAGCTCCTTTAACAATCCAAATGATTTCCCTATCCTCATCAGCCTTAGGGATAAAACCATTCTTGTGCAAAGTGCCCAAAGAAATCAAATTCTTCTTCAAATATGGGATATGTCGAACACCACTCAACGTCCGAACAGAACCATCAGACATCTTAATTATGACATCACCAATACCAACAATATTGCACCATCGATCATCACCCAAATAAACAGAACCAGAATTAACCGACCTGTATGTCGAAAACCATTCCATATTTGGCGTGATGTGATAAGAACATCCAGAATCAAGAATCCAAGCATCCGTAATTGAGTCATTGAAATAGAGAGCGTATCACCATCACTGTAATCAGAATTGTCATCCTCGGCCACATTCACAGACTTGGATGAGTCATCACGCTTCTCATCAGTCTGCTTTTTCAACTTCGAACAGTCTCGCTTCATATGTCCCGCCTCCTTGCACTTGTAATAATGAATTGTTTTCTTATCCCTAGATTTAAATCTGAAATTCTGCTTCCTAGACCATGTCTTCTCTGGCTTCCGTCCACGGTCCCGATTACCTTTGACATATAAGCTATCAACTTGAGAGCTTTCCCATGCATTCTGCTTCCGCTGGTTATGAGCCAACAAGGCTGCAGTAATCTCCTCAACTTTGATAGTCTTTTTCCCATATGTTAGAGTAGTCACCATGTGTTCGTAAAGGGAGGCAACAAACACAACAGAATCATCGCTTTGTCTTCATCCTCAATTTTCACATCAAGCCGAGCTAAATCAGAAACGATTTGATTGAAGACATTCATGGGTTGCGCCAAATCATGATCGTCATGTATCTTTAACCCATACAACCGCTGCTTTAGATACAGTTTAGTCGTTAAGGATTTGGACATAAACTGGCTTTCCAATTTCTTCCAAATTTCATCTGGAGACGACAGATGCATGACGTGATACATGACCTCGTCCGCCAAACATAATCGTATGGTTCCCACCGCTCGCTGTTGTAATTCTTCCCAATCTTCCTCCTCCATCGACGTCGGCTTTGTAGGTCTCAAAGCCTTCAGGATTCCTTGCTGCGCCAACAGATCCTTCACCCTTGTTTGCCATAATCCGAAGTTACCCTGACCATCAAATTTCACAGCTTTGAATTTTGCTCCTAACATCTGATACCAATTGTTGAAGAATCGTGTAAAGAAAACGGAAAGAACACAAGAATTTTAATGAGGTTCAGCAATGTGCTTACGTCCTCAGTGCCTAGACGGTGCTAGAAATTTTATTCAATGTCTCATAGATTTAGGTTACATCTCTATTTATAATAAATAAACCCTTGTACATATTTACAAGAATTTTAACGAGGTTCAGAAATGTGCTTACGTCCTTTGTCCTCTTTACCGGTATATTTATGAGACATACCTTACATCTATGAATATGGATTTCTAAGTTAATATTTGGTAAATTATATTTTATATACTATGGGGATAAATTTTTAATTAGGTAGTTTTTAGGCAATTTCATTATTTATATGAAACAATATTGAACTGTCATGTTGCTGCCTGAAATCGAACTCGATTTGAATGTTAAATTATTTTTATTTCGGATTTACATGATTACATATTTTTTATGATTGATGTTGAAATTTGATGATTGATGCTGAAATTTGATGATTTTAAAATAAATAGAATTTTATTGATTTTCGAATAATAAATATTTTAAATGTTTGATGTCTTATTATTGACTAGTATTCGGGTACAGATACGAGAAAAGGGGTGGTACATTTCAGCTTAGCCGACCACTACTTTTAATATAAAATGGTGAATTTAGAATATATGAATAGTTAGGTGATTCTTTTGTAACTTTTAATAGTCGAATGACTCAACAAAGCAACACCCTATAGTCGAAAGACTATCTTGTGAGTTTTAATAATCGATGAACTCAACCAAACAACACCCTACAATGGAGATACCATTTGTGTGCTCTACCCCTGTAAATTATTAAGACGGGCAATGTATAAATATACTCCTTGGCAACCAACTATGGACGAATACGAAATGAACAAATAAGAGATGCTTCATAATTTGCAGATGTCCCTAATTAAGCTGATATTCTTTTAGCCTCCACAGCTTAATTATTTATGATCACGACACCCTAGAAGCGTTTGTTTTTAAATCAGATCATGGTTTATTTTGAAGTTTTAAAAGATATAAAATTCGGCGTATAAAAATCATATGTAAAACTTTAATTAAATCTAAATTTTATAATAAATAGATTATTTTTGAATAATATTAATTTAATGGCCCACTTTAGGTGATCAAATAAAGTAGATTTCCCCATGACTGCCAAATATCTCTATATTCCATGCCATAACAACAAAAACCATGTTTAATTCACATAAAAAAACGCACAGATTATATTCATTTATAAGTTATTAACCTAAATTAAACCCATGCCAATTAAAGGGTCCATCCTCAGCTACTTTGTGTGACATTTCTACCTGAATTATGTATGGTCAAATTATGATTTTAGTCCCCTTATTATACTAAAAAATATCTATGTAATTTTTTTTAAAAATATTCATTCCAGTTCAAAAAGTCCATGCCAATGAGTTTGAAAGAGATGTTTTAAGAAAGAAAGAAAAAACAACTTTCACATTCTGGTCAGAATGGCTAATAAGCTAAACCTTCAAATTTGAACATAGTAAGGGACCAAAGCCAAATTTGACCATTCTTAATATAACAAATTTCATCTCTACACGCCATCAAAAACCAAAATACTAAATGAATATTATATATATATATACATACACACCCCCGTTCTATCTGTCGCTAAATGAATATTATTCAATGGAACATCCAAAGAACTTACCTCCAGGAACTTCTGCCATAGTTTTTCTCCTTTCTGCTGGTTTTCTCTATATTTGTATATGGTCTCCTTCAAGAACTTTACTCCCCTATAATGAACTCGACGATCCACCCAAAAATTATGTAAGTTTATATATATATATGCAGAATCTATATCTATTATTGTAGACACAAAGCTCATTTCTCTTGTCGCAGACTACTGTTGAGTTTCCTGTAAAAGATGAGCTTGAATTGGCATTAGAGGGAGCTTCCATGCCGAACAAGACTGTTATCATCGCGGTCGTCAACCGAGCATACGTCGAGCAGACTGTCGACGCCGAGACGACAATGTTGGACCTATTCTTGGAGAGCTTTTGGCTGGGAGAAGATACCAGGCCGTTGCTCGACCATCTCCTCCTCGTGACGGTGGATCAGACGGCTCACGACCGGTGCGTGTTCAAGCGGTTGCGTTGTTACCGGCTTGAGACGGAGGGGGTTGATTTCGGGGGGGAGAAGGTTTACATGTCGCGGGAATTCATCAAGATGATGTGGAGAAGAACCCTTTTTCTTTTGGATGTCTTGAAGCGTGGATACAATTTCATTTTTACGGTATGCTTTCTTTGACCTTCTTGATCAATGTTCATCAATTTTAATTTTGACAAATTAAAATATTAATTTGATGGCATAATAATAACATTAGTACCTAACATTTATACAAATGATCATTTTGTTCTTTATTTTTTTTTGAAATGTTTTAACCTCCAACTTTTTAATTTTTTTTATCAAGATAGTCCATGTTAAATGAAAACCGTTAGTTGATTGACAATCAACACATATTGTTAGTGCATCATGTATCACATAACCAAAATGATGATGCAAAATATATCATATCAATTAAAGTGATGATATGACACATGATATATTATCAAAATTGATGATTTGTCATGTGCTACATCACACAAAGTGGTGATATATTATGTGTCATTTCACTTAAAGTGATGATATGACATGCACCATCAATTAAATACGTAAAAATATCTTTCAGGGTGGACACATATATATTAATAACAAAAAAAATCTTATGGGGTAGGTTCAAATAAAATTTCAAGGTGCGCACATTCAGTAAAATGAAAAACTAACATAAAGAAATTTAGATTCCAGGGTAGGCGCGTGCCCACCGTGGGTTATACATACATCTGCCAATGCTGTTAGTCAACTAACTATTTTCATCCAACATGGGCTATTTTGATAAAAAAAAATGAAACAATGAGAGCCAAAATATTCCAAAAGAACAATAGGGTGCAAAATGATAACTTATGCAAACATTGGCTGCTAATTTTGTTATTATGCCTAAATTGATAATAATAATTCTTAAAGTATTACACCATGACGTGAACCGGAGAAATTTGTGCATAGTTTTCTTAAACAATGTTCTATTATAAATTATTTAACAACATTTTTTTTAATTTCAATTGTTTTCATAACTTCATTGATGCTATTTAATTAATAAAATCAGTCCCATATGCCTTTTTCTAAATAATAAGCATAGATTCTTCTTTTATGTGAACAGTAACGATTGTATAGTTTAATATTTCAATTATACAATTTTAATCGTTTAATATTCTCATTATTGCTGTTTTTATTACGTCAAGAGCATCTACCCTAATGTTTGGTTAAGGTTGTTTCACGGGGACATGACAGTGTGGTGGTGTTTTGCTCACTAACCCTCTAATATCAATAAACCAACTAAACAAATTATTGGTGTTTATGGACTGGGTGGTTGGGGTTAGGTTCGTTTTGTTTAAGTAGGTTAAATAATTAATCTGTAAATTTATTTAGTTCGATTGATATTATCTTTTGCTCATTCAATTAGGACACCGACGTAATGTGGTTGCGAAATCCATTTGTAAAGCTGGGTCTAAATGGAACCGAGGATCTCCAAATTAGCGTTGATAAATATTACGGTGATCCACGACCCGATCATAATTTTATCAATACAGGTTTCTACCACATCCGATCAAACAACAAGACGATCGCTCTCTTCGACCGATGGTACTCGCTCAAGGACAACTCCACGAGGCGAAAAGAGCAAGATGTGTTGTTAGACCTACTGCGACACGGAATCGTCGCCGAGTTTGATCTCCGAGTTATGTTCTTGGAGACGAGGCATTTCAGCGGCTTCTGTGAAGACAGTCGGGACGTCGGAGCAGTAACAACAGTCCATGCAAATTGTTGCCGGCACATCGGCGCCAAGGTTAGGGATTTGACGGCTGTCCTCCGCGACTGGAAGCGGCTCAAGGCGGCTGTGACCAAGTACCCCAAGGCTGCTCGTAATATAACTGGTAGTTTTCGTTGGTCAGCACACGATGGATGTTTGAATTCATGGAAACCTCATCATCATTAGCGTAAAACATATTGGTTTCGTTTCTTAATTTTTTTTTAAAGAAAATATCAGTTCAAATCAATTGATTGTATTTTATCATATGATTTATTTGGATGTAAGATGAATAAGAACGGATTTATAATCAAATATCGAAAGATAAATTATTTTAATTTAAAATAACGGAGATTAAATAAATCTTTAATCTCAATAAATTTAACATGGTTTTAGTCCCATGCACGTTACTTCGGTGAATGGGCACATTGAAGTAATAAGAGAGCTCATAACTTAAAAGAGTTGGACTTGGAAAAGATGGTAAGGTTCCTCCTCATTGTATGATGTCGATATATGATAACGGTGAATGTAAAATTTTATGTTATAAGAATAAATTTATAAAATTTTAAGATAATATATAAATTTATAAAATATATTATTAATAGAAAATATAAAAAAAATATCTAAAATAATATGATTTTTATAATTTCTTTTTGAAATTCTTTGATTTTTTCAAAATTTTCTGCTATGTAACACTCTTTGATACTATCTTAGCCTAAGGAATTAAAAATTGTAATTAAATTCAAACATTTGAGATTTTATTATTTGATTAATTATGATTCTAGTTTGCGTAGAATTTCAATTAGGATTTTAATTATTTATTATTAGGATTTTTAGTTTACTATTATTTAGGAATTAAGTGTTTTAATTTTCTTGAAAGTTAATATTTTATGTTCATTAGAATTATCTCAAAGCTATAAATACCCTCTAGGGGTGAAGCTTGAGAGAACATGTTCAGAATTCAGTATAGAACTGATTTTGACTTTTTATTTATTTCAGTTTCTTTCAATAAAATTGTTTTCTTCTTCATCTTTTCTCTCTTTCACACACCAAGTATAAATTCTATTATACTTGACTAAACTTTTTCTTAGCTGATAGCTAAGCTACGACTCGATTTGATCTCGTGAGAATTGTAAAAACGCTTCACATCTTCATATTCTTACTTGATTTTTGATAGACAAGGAGAGGAAATCGACATTTTCTTTAAAAAAATCTCAATACCGTCAATCTAAAGAGTGTACATTGCCTTGATTGATATTGTGATCTATAGTTTAATACACCATAATCCGAGTGCGAGCTTTTCTAGTTCCTAAACCAATATTGGTGTTAATATCGATAGTCGATATTAATTCAAACAATAGCTAAATTTCTACGATTGACTTTGGAAACTTAGTTCACCAGAGAGGAGAGCAAGTTACAAGGGTTGGACCTTGTAGACTGTAACTGGGAAATATTCGAAGTAAAACCTATTTCAGTGATTGAGACAGATTGAGGCAAAGCGAAGCTGAAGGCTATCTCTCATCTTAATTAATTCTCTAGAATTTAATTTTCTTATTTTTATTGCTTTCACTTTTGTTTTATTTTATTTTATTTTATTTATTTAGTTACTTGATTATCAAACCCCCTCTTTTTAATTATTTTGTTTAGGTTTCTTGGTTAGCATCAAATCAAATCTAAATTAGAAAATTTCGAATCCCTATGGACGAACCCTTTCTTCTCTATTATGCTTTCATAGCTTACTTATATGAAGAAAAAAAAGCTTATTTATTTGACAATTACCACGTTTGTCACCTCCATCCAATTTTCTGACCGTGCGTATTATGGAAGCGAGCGTAACCAAAACGATGATCTTGAAATTACTGAGGAGAAACATCAGGCTTAACGTTCTCACCAACAAAACCTACGCTCTATAGCGACTTGCTCGACCGTTCACTCTTATGGATCTCGAAAACGAATACTTTCTGGCATGATTTCAAAATGAATAAGACTACTCTAAAGTTTTGGCCGAAGGTCCCTAGATCATCTTCGGCCAATATTTAACGGTTTAACCATGGACAATGGAATTCCGAACCTCTCAGCCCTACCCAACCACTATCATAGTCTGGAATCCATTCCTATGTTTACCGGAGTACATCTATAATAAGAAAATCCTAAGTAGTATTGATAGTCTTGTTGGCAAGGTGGCCTAATTGGATGTCCATAAAGATACCATCAATAAAAAGAGGTTCGCAAGAGTGATTGTCTATGTCGACCTTACGAATGGTGGAATATGAGAACCTTTCTCATATTTGTTTCTCTTGCGGAAGATTTGGTCATATGAAGGAAGCTTGCACCGTAACCTTCCTAACCAAGAACCCTGCCTCAATGTAATTATACCCCATAAGGATGGTACACTTACCCCTCTGGCAAACCCTCTTGATAGGCTTACTAATAAGGATACGCAAGTGATTACGATTTATTCTACTAAATGCTAATTCCCATAAAAAAAGGGTTGTCGTCCATCCATTTTGGAGACAACCCCTTCTTTGAAAATTCACTTGGCCTGGAAGGACAATTGATGAAAACCTCGCTCCACCCCACTCTTTACAAACCTAGAACTATCACACCTCAATATGGGGGGTCAGATGTTAACCATTTTAAAAAATTTTGTCGTTCGTTGAGTTTCCTAAAAGTCCAGGGAGTTTTCATGTGATTAACCCTAAGTTTAGGTTATTCAAATAACCATCTTTTAGTTTTGATTTTCTATTTCCCCAATTTTTTTTTTAAAAAAAATTTTGTCGCATGTTTCAACCTCTCCCACTCTCCATCACTTTCCATTTTTGGAAAGCCATCGTGGGGTGCACCATTGGCACCAATGCTCTGCTCACCTCATTCTGATCTGATCGCGCCTTAAAATGTTAATTTGGAAAATTTGGTGTCCTTTTATCCACCAAAAGTTGTCCCACGCGTCACATGCATCGCCACTGTATATGTGGGACTTATTCCTGCAACCGTTGATACAAGTTGTTAAACCAATACAACTGGAGTGATCTTAAACTTGTATTGAATCAGTCTACCCGCATCAAACCGTTAAATGGAATGTTGACTGTTGTCTTTAACTATTAATTTTATCGTTGACTTTTTCCATTGACCCATATCCCTATGTTTTTCGACATCGTAAGTCCGTTTCTATAGTCCATTTTTTAAAATTTTGACCCGAAAACCATGTTTTACGTATTTTATTGCTTTATAGTATAGTTATATTAATTAAATTCATGAATTTCTAGTCATATTGTGATATTATGTTATGAAAGGTGATCACATTTCTCTGCATCGCTCTTCAGTACATCCGGATCACCTTCGTTCAGCTCAGTTTGACTCCTTACGTTTGACTCGAGATACTTGTAGTTGTCCTTAAATAAATTACTAGTTATTATTGTTTAAGTATGTATTATTTTTAGTACTCATATAGTGCTACGTTGTTATTGTTATGTTCCCTGTACGAAGGACCTAGTATTATCGATTGTGGGAGCGTAGGGCTTAGTCGGTACCGTTTAACTGATATAGGTGTGTTCCTTGGTTTGTACCATATGTTTACTTATTATATTGTGTCCTATTTTTTTCTTTTATATATATATATTGCAAGTATATCTTGACGCTGAATATTATTGTATTTTGCACTATTTGAAGGTTGGTATAATTTTTGTATTAAGACTATCTACGGAGGTCTAGGGATCCTCTTTAGAGGGAAACATCTCCATCATGTTCCCTGGTTTCTATTGAGTTTTTGTTTGGAGATAATCTTCTTCAGAAGGTAACATCTTTGTCATGTTTTCTTATTTTTATTGGGTTCCTCTTTGAAGGGTAATGTCTTCACCCTAATTTCTATTTTCTATTCTATATCTATCTTCAGAAGTTTCGGGTTCATCTTCAGAAGGTAACGTTCCTATCATGTTACTCTCTAAAGAAAAGTAGGATTGTGTACATATGTTGTGGCATTTTGAGAGTAAAATATTTAGTTTTACTATTGTCTGGTTATTATTTTGCCTTTATTACATAATGCTTGTTTAATCAGGGTTTTGACATTATTAGCTGTTTGCACTTAAAGAGAACACTAAACTTTCTAGCTCACTCTATTTTTGTCTTACATCTTTAGATTATCTAGATGTATGACTGATTTGGCTATCGGAAGTGTAGTCTAAATTCTACATTGTATGAGGTTAAATATTTGTAACCCTCCATACCCGGTCTGTAAGTTAGACCCAAACCTAAGTGGTCACATATCCCATTCAGAGTTTTTTTTTTCTTTTTTTAAAATACATTTGATATAATATAAAACAAAATATTAATAATACAAATATATCCAAAACGATAGCAATACATGTCACCAAACATAACCGAAAAACATATAGAGATATACGTTCGTACAAAATAAGTAGTTGATCTCTCCTGATGCCAAATCTGCTAGCTTACGGTATGCTGTTATCTGAAAAAGTTAAAAACTACAGAATGAGCTAAAAAGCTCAGTGTGCTTCATACAATGTATTAAAAAACATATTAACAAAATAATTTAATAAAATTTGTTTATGCAATATGTTTTGAAAACATGAACACTACCCCCATCCTTTCACAATCTGTTTGTGTAGGTTCCCCAGAACCATACACCCCGCACAACCAGTAAGGCCCTGAGCACACAGTCGAGGAGCCTGCAGATAATCTTCCTCCAATAATATCTCCCCCAATGATAGTAATGAACATGAATGTATGTACATAAAACAATGAATAATTCTTTAAAAACATAAGAATGTTTCAAGCTTGAAAACCATAAACAGAAATACAGAAATCAAAAATCAAATCAGTAATGTACGGTAATTCAGATGTGGGGTAATTAGTATTCAGAAAACGGTATAAAATACCGTAACCAGAAATCATATCAGAAATATACAGTAAATCAGAAATCAGATACACAATATTCAGATATTTATATACTTTAAAATAATAATAATATAACACTATCAGGAAACACACCTGTAACAGTCTGAGAAATCAGATAGGGAAGCCTATTACTGGTTTTGTCGATCACGCTCTGCTGCAGCGCTAGATCCTACGAATTGAAAAAAATCCATATTGGAATCCTAATATAAATAATCTTAATCTTTATTTAAATAATATACGGAAACCTACGGGTAAGTCTAGTAGTACGTGGTTCA